TCTTTTTTTCTCTATTTATAGCGTCATAAGACTATAAAACATACTTTTTCTTAAATTATGATATTACAATGCTATAGATTTATCTCATTACAACGCACTGCAAAGTTATTTTTCAGGAATTTCTGGCGTTGTTTTTTTTTGAAAATTTTCATTGCATTACAACTCTATAAATTTATAGCATTATAATGCGTTTCAATTTTTTATCTTGTTACAACGCAATTAGATTTGTCTATCGCCTTATAATACGTTAGATTCTAATGTATTATAACGCGTTTGAGCTTTCTACTTCAATATAATGCGTTAGAAATTAATGCGTTATAATACCTTATATGTTTTATCTAATTATAATGCCATAAATTTGGAAAAATCTTTTATAGCGTTATAACTCATTAGATAATGCATATCGTACTGTAACGAGTTAATATCTAATAGATACAATGCATTATTCTTTTCTATCTCATTGCAATAAGATAAGAAAATAGAACTCTGTGTAACACGATAGGTATTAATGCGTTACAACGAGTTAGACAATATCCAAGACGAAAATACATGATTTCCCCGTAAAGGACACATTTGCATAAAATTCTGAGACTGCCAATCGGTTCCTCTCGAAAAGTTGGGCCGGGAAAAATTACTTCAACTATATCAGACATATACGTTACTGACTTGAGACTTAGGACATAAACTCCCACAGCACACTTACTACCATTGTCACGTATAGCATTACAGCGCCTGAACAGTTAATGCATTGTAATGCAATAAATTTACTTCGTTGATGCGTTATAATGCAATAGGAATTTAGTAACGTCTTGTAACTATTAGCGCGTTAGTCGAAATTATAGCGTTGAGACATTATAAAAATATGAGAGTCGTTGACAAAAATGCATTATAACACTATAATTTCAATTTTTTGGCACGTAACGCGTTACGCTAATGCATTAAACACATGTCGTAAAACGTGTATAAAATCATAAAAAGACATTACAAAGAATCTCAACGTCTCATTTTGTAGGAAGATGTTTGATCTACATCTGTAATTAGGCATGCAACAATCCGATAGTTCGGTCACCAAACGGTTCGTAACCGAACATGTTCGGCTTGGAAACTTGATGCAACCGAACGTGTTCGGATGAAGATTTCAAATATGATAGTTTATATTTTTCTCATCGGAGATATCGACGAGCGCTCTGTTCAGAACTATTAGAACAAAATACCATAAACCTTATAAGGATACACTCGAATTAGGGCTGCACCTTTCTGTCTACTTTATTTGCAAAGTGAAGAAAAGCATTTTTGCATGAAAACAAAGTAAATAAATCTGCTACAGAGGCCACATTAGTAAAAGTATGCTTCAGTTAGAGAGTAAATAAGATATAATGGAACCTAAAGGTACTTTGAACTTTCTGGACCAAAACAAACTTAAAATTACTGCTCTAACTCAAACTTTTCTTTACATGACTACCTACGGCTATGGCGTAATCATGGCTGTTCCTTCGTATGGTGTAATCTTCACCATTTTTTGTTTTACAGATTTCTTTCATGTATTTTTTCGCTCTCACGTTCTTAGCTTTGACAAACTAGTTTTTTAAACCTTTGGTAGCGAACCATTCCACCAACATGTTCGGTAGCGATCCGGTAGAACACACATTCGCTCACGTTGTACTTCATTTAGCCTACTTTCTCACTCGTTAATTCCTTTAAAAACTTAAATTTCATTCCGTTTATCTTTAGTCCAGACTAGGCATGCAACAATCTCAAGCTAGGGCTCGCTGATTGGTAGCGAATATGTTCGGTAACAAACGGTTCGGTGCCGATCAGCGAGCCCTGGCTTGGGATTGTTGCATGCCTATCTGTAATGACTCAGAAAAATTTTGTATGTCTAGATCTTTGACATTCGTATCAAAATTTAGAAAAGTAAGAAAATGATGAGACCGATATTTATCACTAGTATTTGATATAAAAGTACATCATCATACCCGTGTTTTAAAATGTTCTATTGTATATGAATCGATGCAGAATCGTCTGCTCTACAAAACGAAGCTAGATTTATTTTGGGGCGGCCATATGCGTGGTTGTTTTTTAAAAAATACTAGAAAAAGTACATATTTTAAAATATGAAATGTTTTAGTTTTCTTTAGTTTAGATAGTTAAACATATTATTATATCTAAATATATGATCTTATAGAGTAGACATCGCTCTTTCAAATGAGCCATGAACCAGTTATAGAAGTTTCATAGTTTTTGAGAAAATCAAAAAATACGAAGATTAGTGAAAATTCACATTTTTTCGATTAATCGTCGACCCCCAATAGAATGTTTTGTCTCTAGTCTCTTAACAAAACACTTTCAGAAAGAGTTATTGCAGGGTTAGTAGTCATTTTGAATTCACTTTCGAATGACATGTGAATAATTTAAAAAAAACATTTGCCAGCGAACAGTATGTTCAGTACTGTGGCGAAGGCTCTCTTAATTCTCGGCAAAACTATAAGTTTACATTCTGTTCCAAAATTCCTTTATATAGCATTAAAATGGGATATTAAAATCCCAGTTTTCAAAACTTATCCACTTATTAATCTATAAAAGCATATCAATCCGTTATGGAGCAAAAAATCCGTTATGGATGAAAACAAAATACGCTGATATACTCAATTACACAATTGAAGATATCGACTGAGTCCAGATGAAAACCTTCGCTACTGACTAAAGCACTTATAGCTAATGGTGCACCTGAACAAAAAAGAAGCTTAAAAGTAGGACCTAAACAAACGTTTTCAAAATCTAACCTTTTCCATCTGGCTTCCTTATCCGTCCTTCTCCACTTTCATCCAGCCAAATTTATCTTTTCTCTTCCCCAATATTACGCCATGTCCCATCCTAGAGTAATCCGACCCAGGTCCACTGTCACGCGTCATTCGCGTCGCGATCGCTATAATGTCAAGAAGTCGCGGCGTGATTTTGATCAATTCTTACTTTCAAAAAGAAGCTAGTTTGGCTCTAGCAACGAACGAATATTAGCGTTTTGTCATTCGTTCAGCCGGTACACAGGTTGCGTATTGTAATAACTGCCAGTTGGTCCTATTCTTAACTAAACGAACGATAAATTTGGGAATACAGTGAAGTTTTAATCGATCATTATACGAATTAATTTCATTTTCCATTACCTAAGGGCAAAACTACTAAACTAAAGCGAAGCACAAGATAGAAGTACGCACGATCGCGTAACGCGTTCTCACCGCGAATTCAGCGTGACAGTCGATCTGGGGACTCAGTCTAGCCATACAGAGGAAAATGATTATGAAACAAACTTACTGATAGTACAAGATGGCACAACTCTCGCGTAGCTCGTCTAATCGTCTGAAATAAGCTGCTCGCTGAGCCATGAAACTCAAGGAGTTCAGCGCAATCGTTACTTTCTGAGTACATTTATATGTAAAGCCTAACTTTTTCATGTATTTTAGAAGAGTTGATTCGCTATATATCGGAAAGTCGGGATTGTCGGCCTTCAACCTGAAAAACAGTGCGTCAGTTGTGGGATAAGATCTTTCTGTATAAGAATATAAGATGAAAACGATAGCGGATCTGATCTTCATTCCACTATAAATTAGAAAATATTTTTGTACCAGATGTAAACAGAAATACCTAATAACTTACTACGGAGAGACGAATTTTCTCCTACCGCAATAATTCTTTTTTTGTGGAGATGATGGTGTTGGGACCACAGATATTGCCGACAGTACTAACACAGTTGAAGGAAAGGTTCTGCTTCTTTTTCTTTTCACTGTCTCAGTAGTTTCAGAAGTTGTAGTTCGGCATGGACGCCCTATAAATGAGAAGCTCATGTGCTATCGCTTACAAAACCAAAAACTTTTCTTACCTTTATCTGCCGTAGTTTCTGACTCCATCTGCTTTTCTTTCAGTGCTTTCATCCCTTTCTTTAAATAAAATATTTCTCTTCTTAGTAAACCCTAGATAGCCTTCAGACGATTTGTAGTGTTATATAACGGAATTTTCACTCCCTTTTTCTCCATACCAACAAATGTTATAGCTCGAACTAGTAAACGTATTGTTTCCTTCGAAAATTCTTTCGGCATTTTTTATTGATTTGTTACAAAAAGACGATAAGATACAGATATTGATTTAAACGTTACACAGATGTAATTCTTTCTGATAGAAGGGCACATAGAGCAGACGCGAGATAGAGAGACAGAGAAAGATTGCAGACATATTTGTATATGTGAATTCATTGTCTCCAACGCCGGAATCATGATCTGTTTTATATTTTTCTGTATAACATGTCTTTATGAGCAACTCCATGCTTATATTGTTTATATTAGAACACTCTGAGAGAAGGGGTCTCTACAAGGCGAAAAGTCTTGACAATAGACAACAATATGACTCTCCTGTATGCGTGGCTAAAAAAAGTTCATTTTATTGCGTTTGCGCCTTATTAGTTCACTATGAGGCCTGATGGTTCAAGCCCAACGTATGGTATTGGCTTGTGAAACTTTCTGGATCACAAAACAAACATTGGCACGCGAATCAGCATAGTTGAAAACCTATGTTTGCATATATTACTGAGGCTCCAACCCCTAAAAATGGTCGATCCGAGACTGCTTAGGTGGTTCCAGTTAAATGTCTATAGCTACCAAACGAAAAAAGACAGAGATCTCGGACTTGTTTGGTTTTGTAGAGCAGATGTTGCTCTATCCAGGAACAAAATTAGTATCCTATCAGGCACTGCCGGATATTTTGTCCGCGAAGGTATACCACCTGAAACTGGTAGTCTTCAGATCACTTTTAAGTCGTTCGATAGCCCCATGAATTTACTTCAAAATGATGCAAACCAGACCTCTCTTGCTCATTCCAATCAAACATTATTCAAAAAATATCCGAGTGCACTGCTTTTTGACTCTGGTACTATAAGAAAAATTTTGCTAAAAGTTTCTCATATGGAAAAGATTAGTTATGAAATAGGATCCATAAATCGAGTTTTTAAAGCTCTATTTTGGTATCAAACGCTGTCCAGTTGGTTTGTCAACAAACGATCCTTGATCACTGTTGATATCGTATTTATAAATAATTTGACCTCTCAAAACTGTCGTTAATATTTTTCCATACAACTGCTGCCCATGATACGGTGTACACTTATTTTTAATTTGTAACTTTTCCTGATCAACTGTGAATTGAAAATCAGGATCCCATATAACAAAATCAGCATCTCGGCCAATTTTTATTTGACCTTTTTGCTGTTGTAAATGAACTAATGCCGATGTATTATCACTCATCCATTTTACTAATTGTATCAGTGGTATTTGACGTTGTCGAGCTTGTGTCCATATAATGGATAAACCTAATTCTAAGGATGATATGCCACCCCATGCTGACATAAAATCACCTTTCTTCAAATCATACGTGCACGGACTATGATCACTGACAATCATAGTGATTATATCAGATTTTAAACCTTGCCATAGTTTTTCTTTGTTATCCGTTTCACGTATTGGTGGACAACATTTGAATAATGTGTTTCCATGAGGAACATGTTCAGCATCCAAACATAAATAATGAAATGTTGTTTCACATGTGATTTGAATGCCATCCTGTTGTGCCTGCTGAATCATAGTCAATGCATCGGAACTTGACAAGTGAACAATGTGTACATGAACATCATACTCTTTCACAAGTTTAATGACAAGTGCAATTGCTGAATTTTCAGCTTCGCGTGGTCTCGACTTCAAAAATGTTTTATAATCACCGCTATCCTCATTGTTGCTTTTTAATTCACTTGTTGCTCGATCAACGGGTTCAGATAATTCAGCATGAAACATCATCACTACATCACGCCCATTACGCTTTTTCAAATTTTGCATTATTTCCATTGCACTGCGAACATCGTTTTCATTAACGTGTGGAAAGTCATCAATTCCAGAGTGAATCATAAATGATTTGAAACCCACCACACCACCTTGTTCAATCATGGGTTCAATCTCATTCAAGTTACCAGGTATAATTCCACCTAGGAGGCCAACATCAACAAACAGTTTTCCTGGTAATATATTTATTTTGGCTTCCAGTGCCGCAAGACTTGTTGTAACTGGTGAACTATTTAATGGCATATCAATCACTGTCGTTACACCTCCGGCACATGCAGCACGGGTAGCTGTATAAAATCCTTCCCACTCAGTTCTACCTGGTTCATTAACATGAACATGGCTATCGACTAGACCACCCATCAACACATTGTTTTCAGCATCAATTACTTGAATACCGTCAGGTACATCGTCGTAATCTGTAATTTTACATGTTTTTCCATCTCTATAATAACATAATTGACATCTTTCAGTTATCGATTAAACAATGCTTCAATACCAGCATTCCGTATGGTCTGTATGGAAATCAAGTCGGACCACATGAATTGTGATTCGGTCAGATCTGATCCCAATTTTTAAAAAATGTAATAGTCGGATTTCGTCCTGATATAGTATGACATCCGTCAATTATAACACAGCAGCAATGGTAGGACTCTTAGAGAGTATATAATTTCTTTTTTCATGTTTTTCCTCCCTCAAATGTAATCTTCTGTATCAGTTCTTTTTCTCTGTTTGCAATACAGAGCTCCCCATTTTTGCTCTTCGTACTTTAAAAATAGTGTTCATTATTTCGACTTAGCTTTATCTTGGATTTATTTATTATCATGCAATCAAAACACACAATAGAATACATATTAGAGCCTTACTTAATGTACACTGAAAAAAAACGTGTTCTTCGTGTTTTCAAAGAACTCGTCGAAGAACTCATTTAAGTTCTTTGGGACATGAAGAAATTAATTTTTGTTTTCAACAAGAACTAAATTTTTCAGTCATTTCAGTTTTTCAGTTTATTTTATTTTTTCAGAAACTGAGATCTTCGAAAAGTGAAACAGTACAATTTTTCTTTTTAGTTTTTCGAAGAGCTCGAAATTCAAAACGAAAAAACAATCACCGTTATCGATCACCGCTTTTGTTTTGCTGATCCTGATATATAAGTTGAATGGTATTAGAGCTGTAGTCAATAAGTGATGTTAACATCACTTATTGACTACAGCTCTAATATCATGCACGTTACATATTTTAACTGATCACCCTTAATGGAGAGACGTCTTGGGTAGGTGCGTGTCTTTTCTGGTGAATGTGATCTGAAGAATCTACCATTAGATTCAACTGCTATTAAACGACACCCGTGGAAAACACCCGGTTATGAAAGGCAAAAGAAAATGTTCAGATTATTGAAGAATGTCGTCGATGGGTTTCATTATTCTTATTCAGTTTGCGTTACAGTAATAAACAACATCAATGGCGAGGACTGAAGATTTCATTCGTCATGCACAAACAACAACAACATACATCGTCGATACTGTAGGTGATTTCGTTACGAATCGATCAGCTTTAATAAAGTTGGAATCATCCGTGTTTTACAAACCATCTATGATTATTCTGTTCGGAGTACATCATTTATCACCGATACCATCGTCACTGTTTACAAAATTAAACCACTATGTGCAATCATTCTCATTCGTATCTACTGGCTTTATACATGGGAGCAATGGACAAAAGAATTATAATCATTCATACAATTTGATGATTCAAGTTGTCCCATATAGCCCACGTCGTCGATATAAAGCATGAATATAGAACGGAAGACAATCGGGTTGATCCTCATGAAAAGAATGTAATTCGTTTTGTAACAGCGTTATGACAATGACGAACTAATCTCTTATTATCCACTCGTTGAATGACTTTCAAACACTTTCGCACACCCTACACGTTCTGTTATTTAGAAACTATAGCAAAAATACAAACTGTTACTTTTCAAAACTTGTCTGAAAACGTAGCAATTCGTATTTTTGCTATAGTTCCTAAACAAAAGAACGTGTAGAGTGTGCAAAAGTCTCAAAATATTCGACACACTTTTCCCTTTGATATGAGACGTTCTAGCGCTCTGGATGTCTTCATTAGAGAACTGGGGAAAAAATAAAATACAAAAGAAACGTGACGCAATTACAGTGTGGTGGCAGAGTTACATGGTCAAGCCGATGAGTTGAATGGTGGGTAATCGTAATGTGAAGATTGTATACGATGAACTACTTATTTTCAGTGAGAGATCAATAACGACGACAACGATATGAACAAATATTACATCATCCAATATTTACAAGACAACATTAATAATCGATCTATAAGTAATTGATCATAGAGCGCTTGATAAATTACAACCATGACGATATTGTAGTGCAATAGCAAGATGCAAAGACATTGTCAACAAGTATTAGCAGCCAAATGAACCCAGTTCTAGGCTTTTTATACATACTACTAGATATCAGTCTTTCTCTTTCCTTTTTTATATGATTACCGATTCAATTTTTTTTCTTCTATTCTGTTTATATTTATTGATTGTTCAATTTTATTTCCTTTTTAGAGAAAGACTCTAAGCCTTTTTCAAGTGGTAAGTGATATAGTGTGACCTCTGTCCACTATGATCGAATATTCATGATAAAATCTTAAATTTTCAGGACCGAAACAAACACCATACGGAGTGCTGATCTTTACTTACTTTACATGAACAGCAGCAGGTTTTAATTGATCATCAACTAATACACGTTGTCCACGCACAATTACATCGGCTGTCATCGTTATAGGCTATTTCTTTTCCAAAGAATAAAACATTATTACAAACGCCTGTTTCTTCCTGTTCTTAAAAATTACTCACATGAGAAAATGAAGGTGTGTGCAAATAACATGATAATACTATCTGCTTTCCAAAATTTATTCGCAGTTATATGTCGATAACCTTCGGGTAATATGTATGCAATATTATTCAAGTTGCAGAACACATATTACCTTTGGAGCACTTTTCATGTTTACAGAATCACATGTCCTTTATTAGTAAACAAAAGATATTAGAAGTTCTGTCATTTTCATCATGTACTTCGAATGAAAATAGCATAGAAAACAATTTCACATGGTTCCCTATTAAAAAGTCCTTGAATAGCTTATCGGATTCAGGTAAAGTTAAACTACTTTTTCACGTTGCAAAAAACATGAAATGGAATTATTTTACCGCTATTTTTATTATCTCTAGTATCACACTCGCTGTGTGTGATATCGTCATTTTTCAGAAGAAAAGTGTTTTTGAACTGATTTAATTGAAACCGATGTGATTGTGCATAGACAATTTTCTTAAAAGCGTGAGCTGAGATACGAAATCTGATAACTGACATGAATGTCACTTATGTTTTTGATATACTAGATATTAAAATATCACACAAGAGTATCCAGAACCAATCTCTGTTTCTTCTTTCTTACAACATAAATTCGAGATGAACGCTCTTTTCGGCTGTACGAAGTCTCTTCCAATTTGTTTATACCTTCTTCTTGTGCAAAGTATTCTCACTTCACAGTTCAACCTTGACTATAGTCCCTTCTTTCTCTGTTTGTACAATTTGAAAGTAAACAGTCTTCTTTCCCTTCGTTTTTGAGCTATGTTAACAAATATTTTTTGTGTGTAGTTTCTTTCTCAAAATGTTTTTCTTCTTTTTGTCGTTCTTATAACAATAACAAGTGACCAAAAATGCACGCTCACATCATCTGACGTGCAACTGTTAGAATATATTGCTGAGAAAAGAAGTAATACGGTATTACTTCTTGACAGCAATGGTATTACTAATACCATTGCTGCCAGAATATATATCTAAGGTGGAAAATACAGTAAGAGTGGAAGATAAATGAAAGGGGGTACTTTTGGCTGTGTAAGTTAGGCTCAGATATATTTTCTCTATTTCATTCATTATCAATATGTCATCATTCAACGACGCTAGACATCCGTTCTTATGTAGGTAACTTACAAGAGCTTTGTCGGAAACCTGTATGTCTTTTATGTGCAACAGATAAAAATCTTATCAGAATCTTATTCAAGTCTTATGCAAGGTTACGAATGGAGTTTTATTAGATATTTTTTGTTTTTAGAATAACACAAGAATTGGATAAGATTCATATAAGAATAACTAAAATACGTTATACAATTCTTATTAGATTCTTACCTAAGTCTTACAACATTACAAAAAAACCCGATTCTTATAAATCTTTGACAACGACAGAACGTGAGTTATGTTAGGAAGCGTAGAAAAACCCATTCACGTACTTTAGAAATTGTCATCTTCATGGGCTCATATTTGGCCTATAAAGGATTGAGCCAATGATACGTAGGGTTTGTTTAGTCAGAATATTGTAGAGTTTTTCAGGACCTATTTTTCTATATCAAGCTTTATCATAATTTTATATTAAGTTTTGAGCAAAATCATTTTTGTTAAGCACCGATATGTTTTAGGTACCTCCATGCAGAAAAAAATGGTTTTGAAAATCATCGATGCGCCCACGGTTAAAATAAATTAACCACGTTTAAGTTTTGCCTCAAAGGAGTTGGGAAAAAAGTAAAATGCCTATTGCTCCACTAAGACTGTTCTCCAGAATGGATTCGTAGCATCCACTGATTCTTTATTTATGATAACAACAATGACCACAACTTCCATGTCCACAACAATGGCCACAACTTGTTCCGTCTACGGTCCCATCATCATTGAATGACCAATGCGTTATTGTTATCGTTTTTTCTGGATGGTTTTTTGATTCTTCCTCGACTATTGCTGTTGTTTTTGGAACCATCCATTGTCGTTTTGACACTACATCGGTATCTTCCATCAAAAATTCGCCGATGTTTTTATCAAATTTCACCAAATCTTCGTATCGTATGTAAAAACCAAAATCATTTTGTGTGCCAGTTTTTTCAATAAATTGAATAAATTCAACTGAAAATGCCCTAAATTCGTCCATTTTTGTGCATAGTTGATTTAGTCGATTTTTCATTGTTGGATTGTTATGATCAAAATGTTGTAACGGAAACAATTTTTTATCCACACTGTCATATGCCCACATGTAAGGAACCGATTTTTCTTGTTCATCAGTCACCTGAACGGCTTTTAAACGAACAATAGTTACATCTTTTTCAACCGTTGTTGATGAATCTTCATCACAACCGATCGATACTTTGACTATTTCACCTGGGTTCAATTTGAAATGATTATGAATACGACTTATACCCAAAATATTGGACAATTTATATTTCTTCAATAAGTGGGCCAAATTCTTAACCTCATCGTCCAAAGATGCACGACAGCTTTCATCGATATCTTTGACACTATTGAAAGCTTCATGAGAAAATGATTTAAACAGACCACTATCGAGCAGTGTAGCCATATTAGTCCGAATATCCGCCGTAAAATTCCACTTGTATGAAACCCTTTAGATTCTGAAGAGATCGTTGTTTTATGCTGTACAATACTACAAATGTTACTTGATATTTATACGTTGTTTCTTCCATGTACATTTGAACAATAGAGGAATTCAGAGAAATGCCAGCAAGGATAGTGGTACAGTACCCTATTGAAATGCAAAACTGTTTATTATGAGTAAATGAAAAACATTCATTCATTTTCTCTCTCATACTTTACAGGAAAGTTAACAATATTTTTCTACCACGCGCGCGAAAAAAAGCTTCTACAAGACAAAATAAAATATAATGCCATCGAACATTGAGAAAGAGGAGAGGAAGTGAGAATAATCAGAAATGATTGCTCTTCTCTACCTATTAAGTAGAGTGCCGCGGCAGAGCAGCGGAACAGCAGAGCGGGACGGCATAACGGCAGAAGAAACGGCAAGAATTTTGAAATGCTTCCTAACTGCAAAATCAAACCTTCAGTGGTGTTTCCAATTCTTTAAGAAAACATCCACCATCTGTTTTATTTTTATTAAATTTAATTTACCGCTCTAGAACTTCAGGATATACTCCATTTTATCTGCCTTGTATTCTGGATTTTACCTATACTTTTAAAGAACAATAGAAAGTGCATGGGTTTTTGAAATAGTTTACTAGAAATCTATGGAAGTAAGGAAATATTTTTTCTACTGTTAATCGCGGGACTAGGTTTAACACACTGATCCGATTTCGTGTACGAATTGTGTCATGTCTAGAACTCTACATTTTTCTCGTGTCAGAACTGAAAAGGATCAGGATAGTATATTATATAAAAATTATTTTTGTCGTTTAAAACATTCAAATAAAAACGAAACACGAAAATAGACTTGTGCTCGTAATTCATGTTCGTATTCACTAACAATAAAAGATGATGCAATAATTGGTGATATTGATGATAATGGTACTCATTATTAGATACCTGATCATGCATTCAAAATCATCGTTAGAAATTCTTGATAAAATCCACATTGGAGTGCGGATGAGACATTTCGTACAGTCCCAAAACCATTTTATCAGTCGTACAGTACATATACATGGGTTGAATTTAGTGTGAAACTAATTGTGGATGCTAATTGTGTAGTAAAGATAAAAATCACACTTTATATGAGATTTTATTTGATTGTTATTATCGTATGCACAACAGAATGTCACATTAAATCCGTAGTCAATATTAACTGATTTCGAAGTTGCAGCGCTTCCTTGCATAAATTTTCAACGGCTATGGTGACAGATTGGCATTTCAATTACGCTAGAGCCCGATATTCAGGTATAAAGATATCGTCCGAATTCATCGACTTAATTTTTTTCCTGACTCGTCGACAACATTGGGAGGAGATAAAAGATGTTAGTGAGGCGCCGACACTATAAAATGTCGACGAATCGGGACTGAATCGGTTATAAACAATCACGATTATAAATCGTAACGAAAGATCATCGTTGCTTTAAATATAATAGAACAAATAGTTGAAAATATTTTTTTTTGCGTTTTCCTTGGCGATTCATTAAGGGTATCCCTTTTTTTGAAAAAAATTCGACTTTGACCTGAGCATAGCCTAATGTAGAGAGAAGTATGGGGTACAAAATGAGACCGCTCCCAGCATTTCACGACCTTTCTTCAAAAAGTTATGCATTTCTGAAGTTTTTCCTTAAAAGTCTTCAAAAACTCAATGTTTTTCTCCTTCTCTGTACACTTAAAACTTTTTCATACATTTAGTCTGATAGAGGAAAGCATTTTCTTCACAATGAGAATCCTAAAAATTGATGACAATGAGTCTCCCAGAATTTTCGGATGAGTTTTCATGGAGATATAAGCATCGCGGCGAATGATCCGAAAAAAGTGACCTGCGTACAAAATGCATTTTTCTCGAAAACTATTTTTTTGCTACCGAGTTTCATTGTGTCACATTACGAACTCCCTTTAATTTCATTCAATGGAGTTGAAAATTTTATCTGACATACTCAAGATACCATTGCAGAGGTATTTTTTTGGAATTTTATCTTAAATCTTTCTTTGCCGAGTTATAGGGTTTCTAAAATTGAAAAATTTGGTTTTGAGACGTTTTTTGGTATTTTTCCTATAACTCGATCAGGAAAGGTCTTAAAATATTTCCCCAAAAATATATCGGCCATATTACCTTGAGTACCTCTGGTAAAATGTTTAACTCGATCGGATGAAATTCAAGGAAGGTCGTAATGTGACACAATGAAGAACCGAGTTTCTGGAAAACTCGTGAATGATAATAGTTAAAAACTTGAAATAAAAACGAAAACAGCTAGTAGCTATCGATTAATTGGGCTATTAATTGGCCAAAGCAGCGGCGGTTGCACGTAGTACACGATTCCAACCAGCATGCAGCTAAATAAATGTACCTTTTAATCTAATGAATCTAGCTGTGAGCAGGCGCTGCAGCTATTTTTGCATCTAGATTTTCTCGCTTACTTAATCTTGCTTGAGCTTCTTGCATTGAGATATAGTGGATCGTGCATTATTCAACATTTCAGTTTTTACTGTAATTATTTTTTACACTTTGTCCACTGTTGGAAATGAAAAAATAACTTTGATCAGTCAAGCGTGAAGTTATCGATTTGAGGACTTCAATAACTTTTTTTCTGTGGAATTTAGACTTGAAATCATTAATGACGAAGGGAAATATCTTACTCTCATAAAAAGATGATCAAAATCAACTTAATATTTGCATTCTCATGTTGGCATATTCAAAGTGTCACTGTAACATGTGTTTCTATCAAAATAGAATGGAAAAGATACTATACTCTGTCTCTTTTACAAAGATGGTATATTGAGCGATATAATGCAACCATTGACTGTGATTTTGTTCAGTATATTACTCTTTTCCTTCTTTCAAACAAATAAAAAGTTTATACTAAAAGATAATATCTGCCTCACTGCTACACTCATCCTTATACTTTCATGAAATTCATAGTGACTAAAAGATGCTATTATTCGTTTCTATTTGCGTAAGTCGACGAATCTGACAGGATTCTGTTTTTCTCAGTTCAAACTATTTTGTTTGCAAATCTTATAGCTATATTTGGTTCGACATTAATTGTCTGTATAGAATAATTGTGTACGTCTTTATTATTGGCTCTTTCTGTACCATTTTTGTTTCTGCTATTGCCACACTATAATAAAACGATGTACAAATAAAACTAAAAGTATTGAAACTCGTTATTGATGCTGAATAAAGTAAAATAAAAAAAGATAGTATATATTGCACAAACAGTAACATTTGATTTTTCAAAAAAACTTTTCAAGTAAAGACGAATAGACGATGTTTGCCGTTTCGTTTATAATCCGTTATAATAACTCCCCCGTCTGGTGTTAGCGTTAAACCATTGACACCTTCGAAGTCGTACAGTGGATTCGCTTCTTGATCTAGCATTAACTTTATTTCACCATTTGAATCGAAGAATTGTATTCGCCTATTGTCATGATCAGCAACGACAATATCGCTCTGAGAATCAATCAAAACGCCGAAGGGACAGGAAAACTGTCCTGGTTCACTGCCCATTTCACCTAATTTATAACGGTACTTTCCATTCAAATCAAATACTTGAACACGATGATTGAGTTGATCACTGACAACTACTTTATTACCACAAATGGAGATAAAATGAGGGTAATAAAACTGACCATTTTGCTCGCCTTCGTATCCCCAATCTAATATAAAATTACCATCGGAATCAAATTTTTGTACCCGATTGTTCATTTGATCACAAACATAAATATTTGATTGATGATCAGTTGTAACACCTGCGAACAAATAATAAAAAAGGCTTATTTTTAGCAAACATTTTCGATACAATAAGTCAACTGTGAATGGTGATGATTTAAAACATAATTATTCTGTATCTATCTCTTTCTGATATTATTTTTCTGTTGCAATTTTTCCTAATGGATTAACGAAATAAAGATCATGCGTTTCCAATATCATCATAATTACTTACCCCAAGGTACATTGAACTCTCCTTGAGACGACCCGTGATCACCAACTACTCTTAATATGTTTAATTCGCTGTCTAATATAAGTAGTCGATTTTGTTCCGTTAATAAAACACGTCCTAATTGATCGACATGTATGCCTTTTGGACGAATAAAATTTTTAATTAATTGACATTGACTTGAACCCAGTAGGGGTATCACCTTAACACATTGTCCTTGATGATCGCATACGTATATCAGACCCGTTTTTGATACAGCTACACCAGATGGACAACAAAATTGGACATTATCATTATCCCCAATTATTTTTGGTGGACGACGAAATTTTGAATAGTCTATTGTTATTCCATGTCGTTTAGCGGAATCATTCGGTGATGAAAGTTTCTTAACTACGGAACATTCGAGATGGTCCTAAAAATAAAAAAGTATTGAGTGTAAAATCTCCAAGATGATAGTCAAGAAGTTTATACTTTATATTCTATAGAATATGTAAAACAGCTTAGAACATGCTCTATTTAATGCTAGTTAAAGAGATTATTTACGGTTGATTCAAAGACTACAAGTTCTTATTATGACTCGTTTACTTAATCACATGAAAAGGGATGTAAGAATTAGTCTTACTATCTTACCGATGAATATCTGTTTTCTTGATTTTGTAATGGTACTTCATACAGATTGGGTTTTGGTTCGGATATCGACTCATAAAGTGCTGTAAACGGCAACGGTACACCATTGACCGAAGGATTAGGTTTTCTATTCACACCATCGTCAAGTTTGTTCAATTTTGTTCTCATTTTTACATCAATGTTTTTACTACTATTATCATCGTGTTCATTCACCTGAGCATATCGATAATGTTGAAAATTAGTTTCATTCTGTCGATAGTGATCAGTATTAGTGATGTTATTCGATTGCACAACATTATGTTCATTATTATGTGACGGTTCGATTAACATCGACGAAGACGGCACAATATTTTCTTTGGCTGATGAACATTCACGTAACAGACTAGTTTTATTTCGTGTTAGTAATTTTTTCGATGTAGGTCGTGGTGGTACTGGTGGAGGCGGTAGTGCTCTTGCTGAAAGAGGTAAATGATGAACGGCAGCGCCTGAACCACCATTGAATATATTTTGTTCTTGTCTCTGACGAACAATAACATCTCCATTCGCCGATGTGGATGATGCAAAACGTTTTGGTGATATAGGCTGTTCGGATGAAATAGATGAACGAATACTAGTTGTAGATACAGAATCGAATGTACCATTTGATTCGGACGATGACATACGGGAGAGAATACCAGAATCAGTTGTAGTTAAGGTAGAATAATGACGATTTTCATTATTATTATTTTCATTAATTATTAAGGGTACTTCTACAGAAATGTTCAGTTTATCCGGTAATGATGGATAGAGAAGAGTCGTTGGACTGTCACCACTTTCTTGACGATGCTCTACTTGATTACGAATTGGACGATACAATAATGGTAATATACTTTCTGTCTGTGGAGTATTTGGTACTGATTCACTATCTAAATAAAAACTACATAAAAATAAGATGAATAAATTTTATAACAAAACAGTTTTAGCAAAAGGCTAAACATGTTGTGTTTATCACATAAGCAACGTTTCTATGAACCTGAAAAGCACTGGAGTTTATCACCAGCAACAACTCTTAATTGATCAATTAATTTATCAATTTTCAAATCAATATTTATTTCACTTGTATCACGAAAGTCAATCCATACCAATCCAGCAGTTACCAAACCTAGAACAAAGATATTAAATGTAAAATCTATTAGTATACAAAAATAAGGCAACTTTCGTATAAAATTATTAAAGTTTATTTGTTATTGTACAAATAGATTTATCTATTCTTCTTAAATTTTACAATAGGTTAATACGAGCATATAAGACGAAACTTCTGCTGATATTTTATAATATTTGTTTCGTTCTATATAAAAATAAAGCAAGACGATATTTTGTCTCTTGGCAAGGTTATATCCTTCTATATGAATTCAAAATTTGCTTTCGACAAAATGAATCACACTTTAACCAGCAATTAGCATCGACTACAGAAAAAAACATATACAATATTGTTGTATTTACATAATATCTGCTGTTCTATATGAATATAAAAGGAGTGAACGTTGAGAACACTACTTATAATCTGAAAGAGAAGAGGAAAGTTAATCCTTAAATGCTGATATAGCACCTTATTTGATATCCACTTTTCGATTATAAAATAGAAAGGTAAATCTTGATGACTAAACATTAATTTGATTATAAAATAAAAAATTCTTCTATTTTTAAAAGTGTTTGGAGAACTGTATAGCGAACTCTTTTTTTGTATATAAAAAGTAATTTACTTACCCAACCACGTCGATGGTTCCCATTCTCTACACATTCTACATGGTATAATAGATACATGTCGTCTTTCAGCATATAATAGCTCTTTTTGACAATTTCGTGAATTTTGATATTTTGGTGTCATAAAACAACATACGACAGCAGCATTTTCAACACCGTCGGCCATACTAAAATGAAATATATATATGTCATATAATATACATGAGAATATCATTTTAATTATTACCTTTGAAATAAATTAAAGCTAATTCCACCATGAATATCCATCCATACAGGAATATTTCGAGCTTTTAAGAATTTATAAATTTTCGATACAACGTCTTTATTATCCCAGTGATAACTAAGCATCACATGTTTACCATGTGCAGCTGACATAATTAATATTTATAATTAAATATTTCACATTATCTACTAATAATGATAAAGAATATTGTATTTTTAGACGTTTCATAGACTCACTTTTTAGTAGTACTTAAATTCAATTCAAATGCCATTCTAAATTAGTTCTAATAGATAATAACTATTGGTTTTTTGATAATAAACCGACATAATTCTATTATCCTAGTTATTTTATTCTTTTAGATATAGATCGGCATATTTTTCTGGATCATATGGTAGTATAAGAAACTTTTAGAAAAAAATATTATTTTCTTTAATTTATCTCGATCTTGTTTCAGATCCTTTTTGAAAAAATTTCTGATTTTGGGCTGAGCATAGCCTAATGTAGAGGAAAGTATGGGCTACAAAACGAGACCACTCCCAGAATTTCACGACCTTTCTTTAAAAAGTTACCCATTTTTGAAGTTTTTCCTTCAAAGCCTAAAAAACCTCAATTTTTTAGTTTCATAAACTTTTCTCCCCTTTTCTGTAAATTCAAAACTTTCCTTACACATAGTCTGATTGAAGAAAGTGTTTTCTTCACAATGAGACGTTTTCTCGAATTTTTCGATAGGCTTTCGTGGAGATTTAAACATCGCGGCAAATGCCCTGAAAAAAGTGATCTGCGTAAAAAATGTGTTTTTCTCGAAAATTATTTTTTTGCTACCGGGCTTCATTGTGTCAGATTATGACCTCCCTTAAATTTCATTCGATCGAGTTAAAAAATTTATCAGAGATACTCTAGGTGATATCGCAGAGGGAGATTTATTTGAATTTTATTTTAGACCTTTCTTTACCGAGTTATAGGGATTCTAAAACTGAAAAACTTGGTTTTTGAGATGTTTTCCAGTATTTTTCCTATAACTCGATCAGGAAAGGTCTTAAAAATATTTTCAAAAATCTATCTCCGCGCTATGACCTTGAGTGTCTCTGGTAAAGTTTTTAACTCGATCGGATGAAATTTAAGGGGGGTCGTAATGTGGTCCAATAAAAAACCTAGTTTTCTGGAAAACTGGTGAACAGCAATAGTTAAAAACTTGAAATAAAAACGAAAAAGTGCTCCATTCAGTTTCTAGTCAGTTCTAAAAGTATGAAGTCTTAGTGACCTTTATTTTTTATTTTACAGCATTTTTACGAAAAGCGTAAAAAAAGGGGAGGGGTATCCTTGAGAAATAGATTTTGAGCACTTGTTTAAACCTGCTAATACTTTGAAGTTAGTGTATAAATAAGTGAGAACGCGCGTACACAGTTAAGATCTCTTATTCACGTGTGTTCGTTAATTCCATGTGAAGACAATCGTAAAATATTTTTATTATTACATGAGACACTCATCATTAAAAATCTATTCTATTTAAGCATTAACTAACTACATACCTATTTTTTTGCATATTTTTTTGGTCTTTCTCCCTTTTTCACCTGTATAGTCTACGATCAGTCATACAATGTATCAAAAATTTATATAAAAACAAATATTAATCACCACAAAAACAGTGATAAAAAAAAAAGAAATTGTATTACTAATTTTTTATTACATCAAAATATGCACGACTACTTTGTTTTCTATCTTAGAGATGGAAAAGAATTTTTACGTTGTTCTATTTTGTGCAAATCAGCTTTTCTTGAGCATAGTCGAAACAACGAATCAGATGTGATGAATAAAAAACATACAGAATTTTTTTTTCCTTTTTTTTCTTCTCCTCCTCATTTATCGTACTTTTTAAAAATATGAGGCACTACTATAAATGTTTAGTTAGAACTGCAAAAAAAGAACAATACTCATTCTCTTTGAAGTAGAATTATATAAAACAAACCTATAGATCGATAATACGTATGGAACACACACGATTTGTTTTTCTTCCAAGTGAAAAGAATTTCTCTTAACTGCAGTTATTTGTTCAACTGAATGCAGAGTACTGTAGTCAACACAGTTTGCTCACACTGATCGAAGAGATTTCAAGAATGTTTTTTATTATTATCTCTATCAAAATTTATCGCATCTATTTTTTCTACTCTAAACGACGTACACGTGTTCGCATTACGTACAAGGACGCAGTGCTTTTACGAGTGTGTTAGATGATAAATTTTTTAGCAAATTTATGCCTTTAAAATGACAGAATACAGTAGAAAATTCTACTAGTGCGGTAAATGTGTAAGGTGTTACTTGAAGCCACTTTTGATAATATAAAATGATGCAATAATAAGTTTTTTTGGTTCAATTTTGACTGACTTACAGTGATTTTACTAGAAAGTGCCAAACTGCACGCAATGATTCAAAGTGTTCATCAGAAATCATATTCCTTCATGATGAATAATGAAAGTTAAGGTTTTTTATCGTCGATAGATTGATAAATGGAAGTTTTTGAGATAACAATTCATCATTGAATAATCACATTAATATTCAGCTATGTTCAAAATACAAATTTTTATATTTCAAACTAATATTCATGATACGAAGAAATAATTAGATTATAATAGTGAAATTGAGACTGTCTGTTTTAGTTAAAAGAGTAATTTATCGTGCAAATAGTTCATCTTCGAGTTAGCATTATGATGCATAATGAATTGATTTTATAAGCTACAATGTCATGTACGTGTATAATTAGTACTAGACAAGTGAGTATCATTCAAACTTATCTTTTAGAATAGAAAAGTATTTTTCTTATCAATCAACTTCTCGACATACATTTCTCATCATTACTATACTCTAACTAATAAAATTTACAATATATTGAATTGAACAATACTATTTTCTTTCATTTTCATCTTCCCATAATCTATATTTGTCATATTAACTTAATTGAATTATTCACAAAAAAGAAATCATCGAACATGATCGACTGATTACCTTGGATCATCATATACTCATTAGTCAAATGTAGACATAACGCAAAAGGTGAAAGAAAAGGGTATTTCTTTCTTAGCTACATTTTGTTCAGTATAAATAGTAGTCTCACTCTCTTTTTCTCTCGTACTCTCAGTCTCTCTCTCTCTCTCTCTCTCTGTCACTATCTCTCCACTTCTGTTGAACGAACGAAGGGGAACGGAAATAAGCTTTTGCCTCAACTGTTATTATTAGTTGAGTGAAGTTAATTGAAGCATGGTATAATCAAGTTTTTCTTCTGAACAATTCATTTTCTAAATGGAACAAAAATAAAATAACACACGCAAACGGAAACAGATGCTGAATGAAATGAAAAAAATGCCCTCCTATGCTCAATTGAATACGATAGAAACTCTATTTTTTTGTAAATGATAATGGAAGAAGGAAAAGTAGAATTTTTTTTTCTCTTATTGAACATCATGCGTTTCATATTAAAGTTAATCAAAATTGCTTTAGGGCGGGTGTAGATATGAATGTACTCATACGTTTTCTCTGTTCTTCTTCTCCATTCTTTTAGAAGTGTGTGTATGTACTGAAATGTCTATATTCAGATTGATTAAAACAGTAAAAATAACAACAACTAGTAGTAGTAATAGTATTTGTTTAACTCAAACAGTCTTGTTTCATCTCTCCATCGTAACTATGTATAAAGTGTAGTGAAACACAGTTGACTATTTGATAATTAATCAGAATTATATATTTTTACTCCTACCTTTTTTTTGTTTTTTATATCTGACAGATAATGAAAAAAAGAAAAGAATTTGTAGTAAATCAATGAGACAAGTCTTTATTAAACATTAAAAAAAAAGAAAAGAAAAGAAAAAATTTTTTTATCTCAAGATGTTTTATCAACTAATATTTAAATAAAATAATCTTTGAAAATGATTAAAATAATAATCTTTTTATAGATAACCGATAAATCTAGAATGTGATTGCTAGTAAATATGTAAATGATACGATTAACGTTTAGAAAGTGTGAAAATAAATAAAAAATTCTCTTTTCCTCTCGTATATAGTGATCTATTTTGTCGAAATTATTTACTCTTAAAACCTATCAATAACAGCAAATATTTATTTTACTATTTGTTTTTTTGACTTTTTTTTCTTCTTCTTCTTTTAGCCTATACTATAAGTAATTAGATTTTCAAGTGTGCAAATTAACTCTAAGGTATATCGTTCAAATATTGGATCAGATTTCTGTACAAAAAAAAAGAAAATTCATATTCTTGTTCATCTCTAATTAGTCTACACGTTAAATAGATCATTTGTTGATAGGTTAATCAATAAAGAGAAACGAGAAAAAATGATCGATTACGGGTGATCGTTCAATTATACTACTGTACATCAACAGACAAGATAATATAAAAAAAGACATTGATATTTGAACAACGTTCCATCAAAGTCTATATAAAATAAATTTTTTTTTGTTTTTATTTTATTTATATTACTACACTTCTCACCTACACGAAAAATGTGTGGAAAAATTTCACATTCACTATTGATATGAGTAAATGAAAAACTATGGTCTTAATTATTCAAAATAAATAGTAATAATTATTCTAACATATCCTGATTTATGATAATCAGTCTAGCTACAAGATGAAGTTTACAGTCATCGTATATCAATATGCCTTTTTGACCTGACAAACAAACAAGCAGAGAGGAAGAAAGAAATAATGAAATCAAATAGAAAAAAAAAAAAAAACTTTTTTGTTCAGTTTTTTTTTTTTTTTTTTTTTTTATTCGAGAAATAAAACAGAAGCCGTGTATACGTTAAATCGAGAGAGAGAGAGAGTGAAAAAGAGAGAGTTAATTAAGGTGCATGAAATAAATGTGTATTTTGCATGTTCGATTAAATTATATTCTAAATTACATGACATGCTATAAAATGAATGGGCAGATCATTTTAGACCTATTTGATGTTGAACATGGATACAGCACAATCAATTTTCTATCAGAACAAACATATAAAAAAACTACTATGTACATGTAATATATGTGTCCATTAGCCTCATGGCAAAATCTATTAAGAAAATATCGAAGGATAAACTAATGGATAATAATTTTCTATCCGAAGAATATAACTGTAGAAGAAATAAGATTATTACTTGAATTA